CACAATCTTCATAGTCTCGGCTAAGATTCTTTATAAACCTCTCATGAAACATAACCTTCGCCTAAAAAATAAACTATCCAAGATTCTTAAAATCATATTTTTTTCAAAATTCACAAGATACATATTCTCAAATGAAAATAGAAATTTAACCTAAATCAAACCCACAATAATACAATAGAAAAGATCAAGGTTATGTTAACATAACTTATATCTTGATGACTAACATAACTATATTAAATGTAGAAAATAACCCTACCTATGAATCTCTAAACGAAGAAATCAATTATTTTACCCTCAAAACAAGTCTTGCTTCAAAAATCAATGAAAGAACATGGTTTACACTTGGTGACATTCCTTCCCGTTAATGAAAATGAAAACTCATCAAATTTGAAACATAATTAGATGAAAAACTCATGAAAACTTTGATCCTTATAAGATGATTGAAAAACTATGTTGTAAGATAATTAACACCTTAAAGGAATTATACCATAATTGAAGGACTTTAAGACAACACTAGTGTCATGAATTAAATACTACTTTTAACATTTCTTAGTTTCTTGCATGAAAACTTCATTGTGATTATGAAATTATTGATAAAAAAAAAAACACTATGACAAGATTTGTTTGAGATTAAGTGTGTGACACCCTTCTAACTTAAAATATTTTTCTTTAATAAATAAAAAATACAATAAAAAGATTCACATATATCACTTCTTTAAGTAAAACTAAAAAAATAAGAAAAATAAAATTTCAAAATAAAATACTCTTAGCCACTAACATTAGCTTTAAAAATTCTCAATAATAAAACTTCAAAAGAATTTCTCAAAACAAAATTAAAATAAATATATGATCTTTTGATCCCGATGTCACACCTAATCAAAGCATTCCATAAAATAAAGATAAAAGAAGTCTATGTTTTGTCACCATCTTTTTCTTATAAAAAATGATTCACCTATATAAAGGCATTTAGCCCAAACAAATAACAAAAGTAGAGGAGTGGGGAATATATTTCACATATGTTATAAACACATACAAGAATTCACATAAAATTAAACTCCCACAAACATCACATCATCAACACATATTTAATCATAAACTCTCTCAATTAACTTAATGTATTAATGTTATTATGCTCTTATCTTCTTATGTATGTGGTACCATACAATACACATGCCTTTGAAGTGGCATAAGAATACACGAACTAGATTATACAAACCTATTAATCTACTTTCAACTAGAATGAGTCTAATAAGGGTCACTTGAGAGAGTATATTTGGTCGTGATTAACCTTCATCTTACTCAAACAAGAGGTCTCATGCTAAAAATCTTCATGGCTAATGTATAAGATCATACAACCCTCTTTCATAGACCATATCCATCCCCAAAAAAATATTGATGAATGAAGTATATACACATAAATGCATATCACTTAAATGTATAAACATAAATGCATAACTGTTATATTTCTCGAATGATCAAGAATAACTTAAATTTTCATACTACCAAACATAATTTGAATTTTTACCTTACTAAGTGATTGTTTAGACTTCTCAAAACACACTTATAACTCCCGACACATCGTCACGTTTCGTAATAATTCATCTTATTATAACTCAAAAACTTTTCAAGGTAAAATAAAAATTCTCATAGAATAATATCTCATTTATATAAATAAATCATCATCACACATCTCAAGATGTACTATTATACATATACATGCATAAAGTTCACACATAGAAAATCAATATATGATAATTTATTAATTACTTTCATTGATATTTTTATGACCTTTAATATAAAAGTGATAAATAGAGTTATACTAACCCAATGACATTGATTTTTATCTTGTTTTAAAGCTAATACAACTAACTCGTAACTTATATGTTGACCTTAAAATCTAGTTCAATCGTTTATTATCCCTAAAATGATAAAGCAAATCTTTTATTTTAATCTTGGTAGTATGATCTTTAATCACTAAATATCTTGAGTTATACAAAATATTTTTACGGGAACCCAACACTGTTAGTTAGCTAACATCAATGGTTATAACTTTGATGAGATCACATTTCATAATTTTGAAAAAAAAAAAATCATGTCTAAATGTGTTCATAATCTTTAGATGTTAAATAAGATTGTGGATTATAAAAAAAATACAAATCAATAAATGAACTTAAAGTTATTCACTCTTTTATTTGGGACTAAGGGTTTCTCATGGAACCCTAATCAATTTGTATAAATAGAAACTTAAAATCTTAAAAATAAAAGAAATCAATAGTTGAATTATCATTTAGAATTAAGTTTAAAATCTCATTACAAGAATTGGATAAAAGAATTCTTATTGAGGGCTTAGGGGTTGTCTTTCTATCCACGATCCTTGTAACTATCCATGCATAAGATATTTCACATTCCCCTTCTTATCTCAAATGATGATAAGCAACATTTTGAGATATATAACTTGCTAATCTAAGAGTCACTCAACAAACACTTCTCGCGCCATCTCCTCCAAGGTTCTCCCAAATGTTAGAAACTTAACAAGTTGTCTAATAAAATGGGAAATAAAGTAATATTTATTTATATACTAATGAATGAAGTTGAAATTTTAAATATGAAACCCAATTTATCCACATGGTTTATTAAAAAACCATATAAAGATCAAATGCAGAGAAGAAGCATGGAAAAATTCCAGGAGAAAAAAAAGGAGAACATTCATATTATTTTAAAAAAGAAAAATAGAGAAAGATCTCAAGATGAAAGGTGTTTCATTTACAAGAAGAAAAACCACGTCTTTAAAAGATTTCCTCATAAAGTAATCAGGGCAATAAAACTCATATTAGTCTTTAATCTTGAAGACAATGAAATGGAATCCATATACTCAAAGTCAAGTTTTACAAATGAAGACATTATCTTCACTTTAAAGTAATCTTCAAATGAAGTTGAATTGTCTCAATTAGACACAAAATATAAAATAATTCTAATCTTTTTATTACAAGAAAAGTATAGCATGTGATGTATCTTATTTTGAATCATTGTATTAAAAGTCTTCTTAGCTAGGATTTCATGTAAAATAAATGGCATTATGTGAACATCAACATAAATAAAGGTTATTATTGAGGTATTTATGGTTAAAATATTAATTTTTATATTATATTTTTTGAATATGTAAATATATTATAATATTATAATTTAAATAATAAATATTAATAAATTACGCTTAAATTATCGATTATAATTTAGTATTGTAATATGTAAATATAATAATTTTTTCAATTTATCTAATAAAAGATATTAATTAATAATAAAGACATAAAATATTCATATAACTAAAAATATAATTCTTAAAAAATATATAAAAACCTTTAGACATATATAAAAAAATTAATGAGTAGTGGGTTGGAGTTTATAATTTGTCTTGACACTCGTTTTTAGTATAATTTAATACACTATAATCATATTAATAAATCGAAGAAACTTCCTTACATTGAATAAAAAAATTCAAATATAATAATAATAAAAATTTAAATAGAGAATTTTTATTATAAAGTTAAACTTTAATTTATCAAAATATATATTAAAATAAAAAAAATTACATAGAGTTTTATATACAATAATCTATATTTATTCTCTAATTAAACTCATTCAATAAATTATCTAAATTTTATGGAACCCACTATTTAATAAGTATTTAATTACTCAAAATTTATGGAAACACTAATTCAAGAATTAAAAAAAATACATTCAAATTTTAATAATAATAAAAATATTAAATTTATTGTTAGACTACTAAATTTATGAAAACACTAATTCAAGAATTAAAAAAAAATTAATAATACTAAAAGTAATACATTCAAATTTTAATAATAATAAAAATATTAAATTTATGGTTAGATTCCTTCGTGTTTAATAATAATGAAACATGAGTCAAATTCATGTATTTTCTAACTTCCTCATTATTACTTAGAATCATACTTTTATTTTTCAATAATCTCCTCACAAGTGTGAATTCCTCAATATTGATATATTCCCTCAAACTTATTAGTAGTTCTTCCATATATTATCGTTCATCATAACAAGACACGTTTACCTGACCCATTATCAAGAAGACTTTCTATACAAATATCATTTTTAAACTGTCAATCAACTCGATACCACTTGTTGGATCTTTCGAAGGGATTCACAGGAGATAGACAACATCAATGAGATATGAGCCAAATCTACATATAGATGGACATCACTCTAGTTTTGGATTGAGAATGATATCATATTTTTCTATATGATTGACTCGTATTCCATTTATAAAAATATCTCTATTATTAAATTTCCTGAGAAATATCTACTAATGATATACCCTAAACCTTATATTTGACTGGATTTTTTTAAGAAATTCAAGATATAAGTAGGCAACATGTACCCAATAATTATAATACAACATTATCAATGGATTATATCTCAATATTGTTGAAAAAAGACACCATCATAATAATATTGATTTTCTTTTTCTGGAATATGGAATGTAAAACAGGTTTCCAAATAAGTTATTATAAAAATTTATTAATTATTATGAATATGGAATGGTTTAATCAGCAGTTTTAGTTAACAAAAAATCCCAAATTTTTATGTTTATTAAGTACAAACTATTTCATATATATAATCAATTAATGTAAAATAATATAAAATTTAATAAGTTGTTATGTTAGAAGTCAATCTGATTGATTGAATGTTACGTTCTGAATTTCTTCCCTTTTTCTTTTTTTTTCCACAAATATGTAATAAAAGGGAGTCCAATTCTGTTTAGCAGAATTAGGATTATGATTATAACGATACACTGCAAAAAAACATGGGCTGGGCCCTGTTTTTAAGTCCAACCCCAAGCCCAATTGCTTAGAAATATGAAAGTCGCGCATCGTTCATGTATCTGATTGTTGTCCACTGAGGTTTTCGTTTGTAGCACTCAACCTATTATTTCTTGAAGTTGTGAAATCACTGAACAAAATTCACTAGACATGGATCCGAAGCTAACCGAGGTTTCTCAACTCTTCGATCGCTTTAAGGCTTCCTTTCTCAGGAACGACTATGACAACTGTTCCCATCTCCTTTCCCAGCTAAAGGTATTTTCCACCCAACCTAACCCTAGTTTACTTATTGCCCTGAATTCTTAAATTTATCCTGATTTTCGTTCTTTCTTCACTGAAGATCGATTATGTTGCTTTGTTTGCTCTTCTTTTTTGAATTTTTTATTTATTTTGAACTTAGCCTGGAAACGAGAAAGTTGTGGGATGGGGTAAGTGAGTTTGAGATTATTTTAGTCATGAGCATTCTGTGTAATATATATTATTGCAATGGTTGATTGAAGGGGTGGTTCTGCTTGGATACGATGTGTTAGTTTTTATAGGACAAGGACTTATATGATTACTGATACTAACAAATTCATAGCTTCAATTTATTTATAGTTTCATTTATAGTTTATATAAAATGGAGGTTAGCAAGGTCTTAGCTTCTTTCTTTTTGGGTACATTATTGCTGTTTTTTTTATTTATTTAATTATAACGACGGTGGTTACTTGCAGGTGTTACTGACAGGGTTCAGAAGCCTTCCACCATTGTTTGCAGATACACCTAATGCTGTTCATGAGTTAACAATAGCAAGTAACACTCTTGGCTCTCCAATCACTTGGTTCTCCAATCACTTACAGTGTCTCCTTCCCACAGTCGTACAGTTTGCTGAAATCTCTAAATAATAGAAGCCTGTTAATAAATCTCAAATTTGCTTGATTCATTAATGGCTTGTCTATAAGCTCTCTGTGGATGAAAATTAGATTTCTCTTCTATACCCATCTTCTATATCTTCTATACCCATCTTCTATATCCATCCTTGCTTGCTATCCTTGTAGGCTAAAGCTGAAACATAACAATCCTCATAACAATCCTTTTTGTTATTAGAAATATAATTTTTGCGATCTGGTTGTTGAGACAAGTCACTATATGACAAATGGTTAAGAGAATGAATAGAGTATAATGGTTTTTTCTTGGTCTAAATTTAGAACATGTTAGATGCTTGAAGGCAGCAGAATGATGAGCAAGAGTTATATTGTTTAAATCAAACAAATTCCCTGAATGGCTGAATCATTACTGCTGCATGAATAAAGGAAAAAAATATTAGAAGTTCTGTATGTAATATTTCTTTCTTCTATTGGTTTTGGAACTTCTAGAGCCATATTGGTTAAATCAAACTAATTATTAGGAATATTTGAAGGACTGAATCATATCAACATGAATAAGATAATAAATACTTAAACATTGAAAAGGGAAAAAATGTTGGAAGTTTGATATCCAAGATTTATTTTTTCTTTTTTTTTTTTGAACTTCTAGGGGATATATACGAGCATGCCGTTGTCCTTAGTGTGAAAATTGAGGACCAAGATGCTTTTGAGAGAGATTTCTTCCAGTTGAAACCTTATTATACAGATGCCTGGTAACTTATTCTTGTCCCTTTCTATGCACAATATCCAATTCTACTTTGGAACCACTGAATCTGCAATCAAAGCAAAAATGATGTTATATGCAATTTTTCTTTCTTTCTTATTGGGTTCTTGCATTTCATGGGGACTTTTCTTGGGCAGCAATCGTCTTCCACCTTCACCTCAGGAGTACCCAATACTAGGTCTCAACCTCTTGAGACTACTTGTGCAGAATAGGATTGCTGAATTCCATACTGAGTTGGAATTGCTTTCATCCACTGCTCTAGAGAATCCTTGCATTAAGCATGCTGTGGAGTTGGAACAATCTTTTATGGAAGGAGCATATAACCGTGTCTTGAGTGCTCGACAGACAGTGCCTCATGATACATACGTTTATTTCATGGATCTTTTGGCAAAGACTGTCAGGTAATAGTTGCTATTATTATTTTAATTGCATAGGGAATGGTTGAACTTAAGTGATAAACTAGAGGAAACTAAAACTTCTACTTAATTTCTCAAGAATTTGGGCTTATAGTTTAGACTCTGAAGGATTTTTCTCCTCCAAACTGATTTGTAGAATTTTATCATTAAATTTGAGTTTTTTATTTATTTGTGCAATTCTATTTTATTTGCTTCCTTTGCTGGAAGCACGTCCTTTATTGTAATCTTAAAGCTCAAACACCTGCCTCTTTAGTGGTTTTATTCTTTTTCAATTTTGCATCTATAATGATTTTCTAATTAGTTTATATCTATCTTCAAACATTCAGAGATGAAATAGCAGGTTGCAGTGAGAAGGCATATGACTACCTTTCAATTAAGGATGCTAAGCAAATGTTATTGTTCTCCTCAGATCAGGAACTCCTGGAATATATTAAAGAGGTGAACTATGTTATGACCCGTAATTTTTGTGTTGTTTTGCCATTTGGGGGGGGTGAGGGTGGGGTTGATAATATCGGAATTGGGCATGAGATCGAACTTGAGATTTGGAATTGAACGTTAGATCTGTTTGAATGATAATCTTTGGAAGTCCTTTTAGAATTGGAATGACAATTCCATGGAATTGAATATTAATAAAACTAAACATTAAACAATTCCTAACCTCCACCTCTCAATCACAATTTCCAACCTCACTCCCCACTGTGCAACTTCCATTCCATTTTTCTTCTTTTTTTCCATTCTGGTTGCCACCCGTCGCTACCTGCCCTACTGCATTGTCCGTGTCACTATTGTCACCACCAATAACTTCAACCATCAATCACTAAGACCGCCACCACTATTGTTGCCATCATGATCTTTATTACTGGTGTCATCACCTCCTTGCTCCACCACCCCGCAACTAATACCACCACTTATTGCCCCCTGTTGCCATCACTTGTGACCATTTTCTGTCACTAACAAATCAATTTTTTTATTCAAACATGACATTCATCCTGTAACAAAATGAAATTGAAGTTAAACTTAAACTTCGAATTATAATTCTATAATCTAATTATTTGCATAACCCAAATCTTAAAATTACGATCTCAAGTATTCCAAGTCTGATAGAATACGAATTGGAATTATAATTACAAGTCTAAGTTATATTTCTATTTCCATGCACCAAAAGGAAATGGAAAATCATCCATAACTCTTTGCACAATTTTAATTGTTCTTTCTCATGTTCTAAAGTTATTATCTATTGATTGAAGGAGCATTCTGAGTGGGAGATCAAGAATGGGAGTGTCTTTTTCCAGAAGGCTAAGGAATCTGCACCGTGCAAAGAGATACCCTCTCTGCAGCTCATCAACCAGACACTTAGTTATGCTAGGGAGTTGGAGAGGATTGTCTGAAAAGAAATGCCAAGGCGGCTTTTGTGTTTCCAAAATTTCTAGGTGTCTGGATAATAGCTGCTAATATTCTGAAATTGTTAAATTCTCATTCAATGCGGAACTAAAAAATTGTTCACCTCTGTATTTTGATAATTTAGGTGGCTGTATGGTTTACTTTTACTTTTGTACCTCGTGCTCTGGAAACAAGAAAAATATTCCATACTTGTATCCCATTTTTTTATTTTGACGATTAAATGATTCATGATTCCGAGCCTAAATTTCAATCCATAGAAAGCTTCATGCCCCAAATATGGTGATATATACTGTTGAAGTCGTGCATAATTTGGTCGCTTGATTATTTTTTGGTAGGTTGATGACCACTTTCGATAATATAGAATGGTGGTATGCTTAGCTGGTTCCTTCTGTTTTTCAAAAGTAAATTACATCTTATTGTATTAAGTAACTAATTAGTTACGGAAAGATTTTAAGTCGAGATTTAATGTTTGGCTGTGATTTGTGAACCCTTATGCAGGCTATCTTTTGGGTTTCATCACAATGTTAAAAACATTTTCTTTAAGTACAAGAGCTGTAGTTTTCTTGTGAAGTGCTTTAAAAGTATTATTTTTGTTGGTCTGGTACAGTACTGAAAACCATTGAAGTATCTATTTCTTACCATCGATTAGGTAGATTTGTCTTTAGATAATGTGTACATGTTTTCTCTTCCAAGAAGATTTTTGCATTACATTATCCAACTTTTAATTTGTGGTTGAACGATATTTTTGGGTTATTTTAAGTGGATTTTTTTTTTAATTTTCCTTTGAATATTAATAAATAAATAAATAATCATAAGTCATTTTTATTTTTAAATATTTGTCTTTTGTTATATACAGGTAGTTAGTTGTATATTATTATTGAAATATAATCTAATTTTTATATTTGTGGACTAAATTTTATATTATTGATAACATAAATATTTAATTATATTTAAAAAAAACATGTGGAAATGATTTAACTAAAAAACTATAAAAATTGAATTAAAAAAAAAAACTTAATTATAACTATCTATTTTCAGTTCAATAATATAATTTAGGTATTGATTATGTCAATTTACATAGTTGCAGAAATGAGGGAGTAAATTTGAAAGGGAAGTGTGTTTGTTTCTACTAAATTAAGCTTATTTGTGAATAAGGTCTATTGGGATCTATTTGGTGGGTGTTACCTCCCACAGGCAAGGAAAATTTGGTGTAAATATAAGTAATGTCTATCTTGTTTTCCTTACCATCTTCAACATGTATCTTTAGGAGACCTGAATAGGGATTCTTTTTCAAAGTAGTGTGAGCATGAGACATATCTATGGGCAACCTGACCAACATTACACCTCTATACACATGTTCCTTAGTCCACATTACTATTTGACCGAAAGAGTAGTGCATGACCTTCCCTCAAAATAAACCTCAGAGTGCATATTTTTTATTAATATTTAAGCTGCTATTCTATCAATTTTCTTTGCTAATGATCAACCATAGAGAACTATAATTTATCATGTAAGTTGAAAGAGCCCATGAACGATTTCACTTTTTGAAATTTAAATACAGACACAGGTACGATTTCTCTTTCAAGTCATTCATTAAGTCCCAAGTGTGAATATGGCTGGGATGAAACGAAATGGAGAGTATCAGTGGTACTTTTCTGTACATGTATCTTGAATAAGTTTCAAGTAAATTGTTCTATCTTTTATATTGTACAATTGGTTGGATAATTTGAACCAATTTGAGGGTTGGTGATGACATCGCTTGTGATGCAGTGTTGTTATTTTATACAAATAATATTATTGATAAACAATATGATCTTAGATTGTTAATTATATTTTTAGAGTTTAAGATTTATATAATTTTTTTATCAAATATGTCTAACAAAATATTAGGTACTAATTTATTAGTTGGTAACTTTATTAGTCTTTTTTGTTATTTTAGGATTAAGATTAGGAATTTATTTCATAGAGGGAATAGTATATTTTGGAACGCTTTTGCAATTTTATCCATTTTAAGCTAACTATTTGTAAGTAAATTTTTGAAAAAAATTGTTCACTAATAATTAAAAAAAATTATATTATCTTATGCATAAATATTATATATATATATATATATATATATATATATATATATATATATATATATATATTGATTGTAAGTAATTTTTTTATCGTAAAAGAAATCACGGTATATATAAATAAAAGATAAATATTAATGTTACTTTAAATAAAATTGAATATAAAATTTAGATTAAATATACGTTATAAATATATTTATTTATATAATTAAATAAATAAGGAATAGCATGATTAAATAGTTGTATGTTATATTATATTATATTATATAAAGTTTTTAAATATATTTATTATTTAATGATAATTGTATTATAATGTCGAACAATGTAATTATAGTTAAAATAAATTTTTTGTTGTAGAAATAAATTATTATTTTAATATAAAGATTAAAAACAACTGTTATTTAAAATTAGAGAACGAAGTAAAAATAAGTACTAATATTATAGGATGGTTATTAACTTAATATATTATATTATATTCATAACAAGATATACTAATATATTGAAATTGAAATAGTAATCATATTAAGCAGTGTTGTTTATGTATTATATGGATTATATATGATGTTTAGTGTTACAGAAAATGTTAATTTGTCATGTCTTGAAAAGGATCATCGATGTGAGTTAATGACGTATCTTATATATTGAGAGTGGTATTAGAATATTATTCACATAATACTTGAGACTTCATACAATTATATAGTCAATGGTTAAAAACTATTAATATGGTCAAAGATGCATATAAGTCAACGATAGAAGAACAAATTGTTAATTTTTACTCATCTTATGACATAATGTCAAAATCAAACTATATGATTTTTCTCGTTAAACTGAACAACTTGTGATTCAACATTTGTACAATATTTTGAATGTCATAATTAAATTGGAGGAAGACTTTGTGGTTCAATCCTCAAGAAAGGAAGTGCAACCATATATCTTTTAACAATTCTATATTTTACCCATATTTCAAGAATTACATTAAGGCAATTCATGGAACTTATGTTTGAGTTAAGGTACTACGATCAAATTCTCTCATTTTGTGGTAGAAAAGATTGACAAACCCAAAATATTTTTGTAGATTGTGATTTCGATATGAAATTCACAAATGTGCTACTAGGATAGGAAGAAATTGCATCTGATTTTAAGATTTTTAAAGATGTCATCACTAAGAGAGGATTCGCTTAAAATACCTAAAAGTATGGACAATTGATGAAGTTGAACATTTATTCATTCACATGAAGGTTTAATTGTGAGTATTAAGCAATGTTATTTTTTGTAGGCAAGTATTACTTGAGAGATGTAAGGTTCATGTTAAAAACTCAAATTATTACTCTATATCATGTGGTCAGGTACCATTTCAAAGAGTATTCACAAAGAGAAATGTAATTAAGATAACATTTGATATTTTGAAAAAAAAAAAACTATTATAGAAAGTGGTACAAAAACCCAATATTGTTTTGAGACATCAAGGAATAGTATTAGCATGTTGCATACTACATAACTTTCTACGTGAAGGAAGTGAATTGTAAGTTGTTGGAGTGACATGATGATAGGTTTGCAATATAACTATGGTTATGGGAAATGGGCTAGTCATGATAACAAATTAGATGTAAAGTGATTATCAACAATAAAGTAGATTATGCAAACCAACTTTATTTTGTTTTGTTGTCCTATATTTCATGAATATTGGACATTATATATGTTAATAATTTCATGATCATATAATATAAGACTTGTGTCATGTCAAAATACATACTTTAATGAGATGCATGTGTTAAGGTTGACAACTGATAACATAAATGTAATGTTGGGTCTTTCAAGGAGGGCTAACAATAGGAAGATTCTCACAAATAGGACACAAGTCAACCATATAAAAGAATATGACAACACCTTTAACCCAAAACCTTAAAGCATTAGATTATGCGTCATACTTCCTTATATGTTACTCAATTTTCTTATTATTACTCAATGTGAGACTTAACTCACTTAGATTACCCAACAATCCCTCTCAAGTGTAAGTCCTCCACATTGATACGTCCCCTTTGAGCTCACTAGTAACCCTTTCAAATATTATCATTCATCATAACGGGACACGCTTACCTGATCCGTTATCAGGAAGACTTTTAATACATGGATCACTCTCAAACTGTTGATCAACTTTTGGCCTCCATATTGGTACATCATATTCTTCATCAGACATAGAATTCGACTTTTGTGTAGCAAAGGCAGGAAGATGCAATTTCTTCACAAACAACAAATCTTTCATCTTGTCTTTTTACAAATGATAATTTGTACCATTTAAAGTAATCATCTTTCTATTTGCCTCCATTTTCAAGTAAGTAAATATAGCCCAAAAAACCAAGAGCACTCTGATAGAAAAAACAACACAACAACGTAAAATACCAAATTATGTAGAGGAATTCCTAAATGTGCAGGAAAGTGTGAGGAGCAACAATAACAAAAGATGATAATAATAATCACAATAGAGAACATCAATATCTTTAGAGTGAGAAAACCCCTCAATATGAGAAGTAAAAACCCACAGACACAACTAGTCAATCAAGTTCCTCTAAGATCAAAAGTATGAGTACAAGAGAGTGAAATCAAAAAGCAACCAATATATCAAAGCAACAATACAATATTGAAGAACAGAGAAAAGAAACCTAAAAATCAACCACAGTGCGGGAATGATATCTCCAACCACAAACCTCTAATTGACGATCTCAACGATCAAAACAAAAACCCTTATGCCACAACCCTGATGTCAAAATTTCATCCTGATCCAACGGTGAAAAAAATGTGCATCGTAATTTTTTTGAGGCATCCCGGTAAATAAGTGAAACTATTTTTCTTTTCTTTTTTTTCTTCCAAAGTCCTGCGAAATGTACCTCTCTGTTCTGATCTAGCAAACTCTT